TCTATATATTGTCGATTGCTTTAAAGACTATCTTACAAAGGTAAATTAATGAGTTTCAATTTATTTGATCATAAAAATATTTTCTTTTAAAATTAATTTATTTCGATGAAAATTCTAGATTAGATAAAGATATAATATTTCTTAATAATATTAATAAATAAGTTTTATTTGAAAACATATTTTAATGAACTATTTTCATCAAAAAATTTTGTAAATTATATTTTTATGAATAATAATCAATCAATAAATGAATAAAAATATATTAGTAAGTTTATTCAACTTAGTTGTTCTTTTATATTTCAAATTTGATGCATCAATAGAGAATAACAAATCACGATATATTTATAATTAGCAAAAAATAATAATTAATACGAAATTTATGCAAAGGAAATATTATATTTATCAAATCTAAATAAACAAATAACAAAAAATAATCTTCGATCTTATTTTAAAACAAGGCCGAGTACCATCATATTGTAATTGTTCATTTATATTTCATCGTATTAATCTTCAAGCTAAATATAATCGAAAACGAGCAACTGATTCTTTACACTTTGGATCAAATTGTCAAGCAGACTTTGTTAAAAATCATTCTGATCTTGCGAATGAAAATTAATAGTGTTATTAAACCAATACCTGAAAACGGCTTTAAAAAGTTATTTTTTAATTCTAATCAAATTAAATATATTCCAGAAAGAATTCTTCAAAAACTAAGTAATATATTTTCAATAATTTATTTTTCATTTTTCTTATGTAATTTCGAAATGTATTTTTATCTTTTACAAATAGTGAACAAGTTGATGAAATTATCAATAATGCTTATACATATCAAAATATAAACAACTGTTGATGTTCTCGTATTATGATAAATTAGAAAGTTAATAAACATTTTTGTATAGTTGTGTTTTTATGTTGTGTTATTGCAATGAAATTACTATAATTATATTTTGAAAAAATAAATTAGCAAAATGTTAAATTTTAGTAGAGAATATTTGAAATACAAAGAAAGATATTGTTTATTTACTTTAATTCTCATCTCTTAATATAATTTATCGCTTCTTTTCGATGACAGTATGAAGGAAACAAGAAAAAGTTAAAATAATAAACAAGTTAAACAATGCAGTCATGCACGCTGTTATAGTATTAGTCATATCTTTCTTTCTCTCTATCACATGTTGTATCGCTTCACTTTACATGGTTTTTCCCCTATATTTTTACACATATGCATTTAAATATGGTAAATGGTTTGCAAATCAAAGATTATTTCTTCATTCATTATCACACACATGAAAAGAAAAACAAATGACATCAACAATGATGACCACTTTTTGTGTTTTAAATGTAAAGTGCCCAACATACATCGTAGTGGAATAGAACTACTTTCGGTAGAATTATGGCGAGAAATATTCGATTATTTCGATGTAAATGATCTCTGGTGTTCATTTCGTGGTTTGAATAAACATATCGATGGAATTATTGATCAAGTACAGCTACATTTAAATTTTGAAAAGGAAGGTAATTTTGATTATTTTATGCAGAATATTTTATCATCAATCAATTTTTTGAATGTTCGGTCATTAAAGTTAACTAAGAAAAACGACATAGGACAATTTTTTTCAATGTATTCTCTTAATTCATTCGTTCAACTTCGATTATTATCATTAAATGATATGTACTCTTTTAATGATAAGTCATTTACATTTTGGAATCAACTTTCATCTTTAAAATATTTACGAACATTGAAAATTAAGTATGGAGACTCATCTGAGGATGATTATGCCCGCGAAGAAAAGGAATTTATTATTCATTCGATATTTAATCAAGATTTTTGTCCTTTGCTTACTTATTTTATCACCCGAGATGATGCCATGTACAGAGTGGGCGAAGAAATTCCTTCATTATTAAAAACAACTAAAACGAGCAATATTAAATATTTAACGATTGATCATTTGTGTTTAACTGATTTGATTAAATTACTTCCTGCATTGCAAAATATTAGATCATTTTGCATAGAAGAAGAGTTAACTTGTGATCGTAAATTTTATAAACAGCTTGAAATGCCACTGATGCATGGATGCAATAAGTTGTTTCTGGTTTTATCAGATGATATAACTTTTGAACATATTGAATATATACTAAAACATACTCCAAATATTAAAGATTTGACCTTCTCCATTTCGGTTGATTTACTCGATGCAAAAAAATGGGAATTTTTACTATCCGTATACTGTCCAAAATTACTGAAATTCGTACTAAGCTGTAATGGTCCAACTGACGATTATGATTTCGAGGAAGCTAGCAATGATTTTGAGGAAGAATGTAAAGCAACAACGTTTTGGACTGTGCGAGGGACCACAGTTACATATGGAATTTATCCAGGTCGCCATTCGTTCGCTAATATTGAGGTTGAATTTAATATTGAAAAAGTAAGTTACTCACTGCTTCTAACTGATTTTCACATTGTAGTATTACAAAAGAGTGGATAAACATATATTTTCTCTTTATTTTAGTCCAAACTATCGACTGGATTATCGTGAACTCTCTGATGAAATAAACACTTTTCGTACTCGAAGTTTTATTTCCAATGTTGTTTTTGTTTCTCATCATATATCTTGTGAATAAAAAACTAGTATAATATCGAAAGTTTGTTTCTTTGCCAATAGTATATCGTATATTTGATTAGATATGAAATTGTTTTTGTATACGATCATTGTAAATGTCTGCTACATATAAATTGAATTGATTATCGATAGTTAGTGAACACGATCTATTGAATAGGATTTAACTGCTACTCACAACACTTTACATCTTCATGAATGCAAAGATTTTAAGATAGGCGCTATGTTTAAAATTCATTTTTCTATCTAACAAAAACTACCAAAAAGAAGCAACATAAACTATTCGACAATTGAAAACTGTACATTCACTTTAGCTTTCGATGTCGATATTATGAATAAGATTTTTTTCATTTTATCAATCAATGAATTATAAGTGTCATATCATCCTAACGATGATATATTCTACTTATACGCAAACAACATTTTCTTGTCAATTTTTATATAAAATAGACAGTCGTTTGATCTGTTCTGTTTGTTATTAGTCAATATCTGTCAATTTTAACAGATATGTGCCAAATGATAATTTTATATGTTTTTAAACAATTGAATATTGATTATACCATTCGTAGACATATTATTAATTCAAGTTGATTCTTTTTATATGTTCAAGACAGAGAATATTAACATTACACTAAAACAAAAATTACATTTCATTATAATCTTTGAGCTTGACAGTCGGAATGAGAAAAAAAGGAAAGAAAACAAGATTGTCTAAGCGCATTGTGGCTAATAACCCCAAGGTAAACACTCATTTGTAAGAAAATGAAGAATAGGGCGTGTACACAATATTGACTATCCTATATACATATACATATACATATACATACAATGTATACATTTCGCTTTTTCTTTTTTGCATTTATTTAACATGAATCCTTCACGTTTACTTGTGAGAATATATATCATTTAGATTGTGTTTGACGAGTATGCACGGGGAAGGACGACATGGTACAATGGTTAATTATTATTCTTATTTATAATTTTACAATTGTTAAAGTTTGTTTTCAATAGATTGAAAATTATTAGTTTTTTATTTTCTATAAATCTATTTTAATAGTTATCATTTGGTGAAGTAACACTTTCATTACGTTTACTTCATTATAAAAATCGTAATGGTTTAACATATGAAAATCGTCCATGTGATACAAGACTCGAACATGATATCAATCGAGATGGTCGATGTGATACAGGATTTTTATTTTGTCTTGTACGTTTACCATTTCAAAATCCACATAATTGCACATTAGGTGATCATTTTACGGGCTTTGTTGGTGCTGATGATATACATTTTGTAAATATCAATCAAAAATTTCCAAGATCGTCTTATGCAGTACAAAATAAAAAACAACGTTCATCATTAATTTCACTTTGGTTTCAACCAACAATTTATTTTCATTTTAAATATCCAAAAGTAAATATCTTTTTCTCATTAATTAAATCTATTTCCATTTTTTGTTTTAAAGAATGGTATTGGTCTTATTGTGGAAGTGTTCGATATAGATGATATTAATAATCATACAATACATGATTCGATTGATTTTTATGGACGAACATTACTTGATCTTAAACTTTATCCTTCAATTGATATTGCACAACCACAAAGACTCTATCTTCGAAGTCTATTTGGTACTTATACAAATTTAACTGCTGATTTTTCGGTTTGTTTATCTATAAAATAATCTATGAATTAATATATTATATCGTATTTTATAGCTCTATTGTTCACCAAATTATTACGATGAGAATTGTGAAACATTTTGTTTACCGAATGAACAACGTTATGAATGTGATTTAAATACTGGACAAAAAATTTGTAAACATGGATATATTGGTTCAGATTGTCTTAGTGGTAAAAAAAAGAACAACAATAGTTTTTTTTATTTTCTTTTTCCTCTCCTTTATTAAAGATGTACGTGCATGTGAAGATCAACCTTGTCTAAATAATGGAACATGTGTTGTATATCTTCGAAGTTATTTATGTCAATGTCAAAAAGGGTTTATTGGTAAATCTTGTGAGATTGGTAAATATTTTAGATATATTGTGTTAATTCAAATAATCGTTATATGTCTTCTCTATTTTAACTAGATTCAACTATAAACAGCATTAATTATACATGTAATCGAGCAACTTGTGTTCATGGTGATTGTTCAAAAAATGGAGCATGTATATGTCATGATAACTGGACATTAGAAAATTGTAATCAAAGTCTTATTATAAGTAAGTTTATAAGATTTTACTTGATAGTCTAATTTATATGAGTAGGAGAAACTGCTTGTACAAGTTATCCATGCTTGCATAATTCAACATGTGAAAATTTAATTCATGGAAATTCATCATTAACGTATCAATGTCATTGTCGACTTGGTTACACCGGTCGGAATTGTGAAGTTGGTAAGAATATTAAACCTTTTTTTTATTCTCCATTATTTATAAAAAATAGCAATCGTTACATCTTGTGAACGAACACCATGTATACATGGTCAATGTTTAAAAATTGATTTATATACAGAAATATGTATCTGTGAAAATAATTGGAGTGGAATTGATTGTTCTCAAGCATTAACAAGTATGCAATTGAGGATAAAGTATTTTATATTCAATTAAATATTATTTTTTTCTAGCTACTGCTGTATCAATCACCGAGCTTTATCCTATCACATCAATGCCATCAATACAAATACCGCTGATAAAACCAATAAAAAATTTAGCAAATACACCTTTAACAACTGATTTAGCTGATTATTTTGATTTGTTAAATGTAAGTTCTGGAATACGTCGAGCAGTAAATTCATCACAATTAATGACAACACCTTCAATTTCGTATAAAAATAGTAAATGTTAATAAATAATAAATCTCATTGTTTGAATTTCGTTTTTCTTTATAGAATATTCACCATGTTTAAGTACACCATGTCTACATAATTCAACTTGTGTTGTACAATCCGATTATCGTTTTCATTGTATTTGTCCATCTTCATTTATTGGAATTTATTGTGAAATTGGTAAGTTTTAATTTGTGATTTTCAAATATTTCCTCTAACTTTTCCAATCCATTCAGAAATATTACAAATTACACATTTTCGTAAGTTTAGTTTGAATGTGTAGACAAAAAAATAGTTTCCTTTTCAAGAAAATATGAATTATAATAAAACTCTTTTTTTTCATTAAGAAACAAATCCATGTGAAAGTTCACCATGTCAACATCAAAGTATCTGTATAACAAAATCAAATCATGAACTTCAATGTATATGTCGACCACAATACACAGGCAAATATTGTGAAAATCCTCGTATGTAGTTTTTGTTTTGCTTAATTAATTAATTATTCAAATGTTTCTCTAGCATTATTACCTGAGCTGAAATGTACTCTTGTTTGTTTAAATGATGGTATTTGTCAGGTAAAAATAGAATTTTTTTTTAATGAATAGATACCATAAAAGAAATCTTATTTGTCTATTTAGATTAATGAATCCAATAAAGAACAGTGTATATGCAAAGCATCATACACAGGTTCCCTTTGTGAATTTGCTAAAAATAACTGTACTGGTGAGTTAATTTTAACTAAGTTGGTTTTTATTTCTCATGTGGAAACAAACGATACTTAAATATGGGGACTGATTAATATAGTTTTACCACGATAATTACTGGCGTCTACAGACGATTTGTTTATTTTGAGATAGTTGATAAAAATAAGAATCATTAGTCTATTGTAGACGTACCCTAAAAAATATATCACTGTTTTTGTTAGATTCCTTATGTCATATTGACCCATGTACATCGAATCCATGTTTATTTAATGGAACATGTCAATCAGTAATCTCTTCGACAAATTACACGTGTTTATGTCTTGAACAATATACGGGTGATCGATGTGAAGTTGATATTAAATTATATTCATCATCTGGTATGTCAGGTGATAATCATGATGAGAATAATTCCACAGATCTTTGGCCATTAGCTATTGTCTTCGGTTATGTATTTTGTTTAATGTTAGTTTTTATTATTATTTGGTTTTTATGGTATGGTTTAACTATTCGTCCTCAATCATATTTTCGTTCCGATATTCCATATAGTGAACGTACTACTGATCGTTATCAACCATATCGTTTAGGTGTTAGTAATCCACTTTTTTTTACAAATCAAGAATATAATTCAAATCAAATATTAAAAACATTTTCACATTAAAATTTGTAGTTTTTCTTTTTCAAATTCTAAACATATTTCATTTGTCGCCTTTTTTTTACTGGAATAAACACATTCATTTTTTTTTGTCGTTTTTTTTCATTAGTACTATGTACACATCAAATAGGAAAAAATAAACAACAACAGCAAAAAGAAAGAAAGAATTAAATTAAAATACATGAGCGATAAGCATCACCAAGAATCGTTCTTTTTTGCTTTTATTGGATGAATATTCGATTTTGAGCATGAATCTGAATATTCACGAGGGAAATTTTCTGTATGTGTTAATGAAGAAAGATCTTCATTCTAATAAAAACAGAAAAGAAATATTAATAAGAAAAATATGAAAAACAAAATATTCTACTTTTTCTTCACCTGGACTTTCAAGATTACCGCCAGAAAATGAACCGGATCGTTTGGAATTTTCATGATCATCAGTAATATAAAAATTGACACGATTACTTGGTGATGGTGTTCGATTAGTTGCTTTTTTAAGGTCAACTATATAAAGAAAATTTTTTATTAATTTGAAATTAATAATTTCTTTCTTATTTATTACCTGATTGTGTTCGTGTAACTTGATTAGAATTAGTTTGAATTATTGATGAGAATGATGGCGATGATGATTGTTGTGTTTGCAAAACAACAGGTGAACGCATATCAGGATGTTCAAGTATATTTGGTGCACTAGTACCACCACCCTCACGTTCAACAAGATTTTCGCTTGTATTCGATATTTTCATTGTTAATGAACGTCGTTGAAGTTCATCATCAAGTGATGATGGTTTTATAGTTACTTCTGGATGTTCAAAGACACGTTCATCACTTATAGATGAACTCAATTGTCGACCAGCAGCACTAAGTAATGGTTCATCTTTATCATTAGCGTTCCATGTAAAATTTTGTTTAAGTGCATTGATATCTTGTAAAGATGTTGAAATAGACATTGGATTCATTGGTGTTCCTTGTGTTTGTCCACTTAGTTTAACAGGTGGCATACGACGAACTGTTGAATAATCAATTTCTACAAAAGAAAAAAAAATCAAATTAAACAATTAATTTATGCACAGCATCGGTTTTTCTCTTTTTTCATATGAAAAAAATGCTTAATAACTCACAAAGTTTTACATAGATCATATATATAGGCAAAAATCCAAAAATACTCTTTCATCACTATAAGTTGCGCAGCGTGAGCTTGAAGCAAAAAGCGCGGTCGTTTTCTTCTTCTCTCTTTTCAGTAAATGAAATATTAATGCATTGAATTACATTATAAAAAATAAATTGAGAAAAATAATAGGTAAAAAAATTTCATAAGAAAAGAAAAATTATTGTTTGGTTTAAAAAAAGAACGTTAATCTTATTACGTTTCATAAATGTTGTGAGAGAAAAGAGTGCAATTATACAGTAAATAAAGGTTAACAAAGCAGAGGTTTTTTTTTATTGACATTCATAATCAAAAAAAAAGTGATTCTTTAACAGTTTTTTTTTCTTCTTTCTTAAAATGTTTTTTAATAATAAAAAAAAATTCTCATCTTGATATCCATAATTGATATACTCTAACAAGATATTTATAGTTTTTTTTTTCCTTTTCTATAAACTTCTCAAGATAAGTTTGTTCAATACTTTTTACGAGACAACCGATGAGTTGTGACATTAATTGTCTTCGACCTACTGTCATAGAAGAAAATATTAAAAAAGACTTTCTATAGAATAAATATATAGTTTGCATTTATTATTATTTATTGAAAAAGTAATATAAATTAAGTAGTATATTCATATTCAACTTGTCAAATTGCCAGAATGATTAACGTATTCAAAGATGAAAATAGAAGTAACTGAAAAACATGTTCCAGCTGTTTTTATGTGTCAAGATAAGAAAAAAAGATAATTATATGCAAAGATTTACCTTTAAAAAATTATTTTTAATAGAAATATAAAAGCAAAACAAAACAAAAGTAAACAGACATTTTATGTGACAATGTATATATATACAATATGACAGAACATTTAATATTACCGAACATGATGACAATAAACAAACTGACAAATGAGGAGCTGTTAACTACGACGATGCTCAAACAATCTAATACTTAGTCATATTTTCCGTTTTCTTTAGTTTTTATTAGAAAAAACAACCATGACGACTTGATGCCATAAGATATTCTAAGCTCATAATCTGGCTACTTTAGTAAATCCATGGTATTTCTTATATATTTTCTTTTCTTCTATCCAATCACTGGATGTGTGATGAAGACGATTATTGCTATTATTATTATTTATTTGCATGTTGAGTCTGGTGGTTCGTTCGTCGCTCTTTCTTTTTTTTGCCCCTCTCTCTCTCTCTCTCTGTCTCTTTTATCCTTTATTTTCTGCTTGACAAGGTCACAAGTAATAGCAACAACTCAGTGCAATAAGACAAACGCACGATCTTCTCTTCTACCGCCTTTAACTCGATCAGATGCCAAATAAATAGACAAATATCTAATGACAGAAGAAAAAGAGATACCAACAGCATTGATATAGTGTTTTTTTTTGATTAATACTCCCAGATCACAAAATAAGAATTAAGAGATGACAACCCAAAATCATTTTATATTTATAAAAAATAAAATGAATGTCACATAAACATCATTTTTTTCCTTGTTTATATGACGTGTCTCTCCCTTTTTTTTTTGTTGCTTCTTTTTCAATGATTAAACAACTCGAAAGGAAACATGCTTGTCTAAAACATCCAACTGTTTCCGTAATCAAGAAAAGAAAACTAGTGTGTATAAACAGATAGATAACAAATCTATTCATTTTTATTCATCCTCATCATCACATCAGTCATCTTCTTGTTTCTACTTCAACCAAAACAACAACATAAAAAAGAATGCAATGATGGCAACATTTCATGCATGATATAATATCTAGAGGCAAAGGAATTGAAGACAAACACCAATCGCACATCCATCATCACGTGTTTTACAACAATGATGATCAATTGTAGATGATTTTCTTCTATATTACAACTAAACCATGGCTTTTATATATATATATATATATTTCCTATCCAATGATAGCAGCTGCCGACTCTAATGACAGTCAAGATATATGAGAGGCAATAAATTCGCTTACAGTTCATTCTCATGATGATACCATAAGGGACTATATGCTAACAAGTCACAACTCTAAACGTGATTACTATAATATTTATATTATTCTTCTCTAGTTCTTCAGAGTAGTTTTCTAAACATTCTCTAATCTTAGATAACGATAAACAAAACAATATATATCTATGTAACAAGTCATATTGACATCTTAGAGGAAGTTTGTTGAACGATATTAATTAAATTATTCAAGTAGAAAAAGGTCTTCATCTATATTATTCTTACGCAGGCAATCAAGTATTAAAAAAATTTACTTTCATATGTACCGAAGAGTAAATCAGTTTTTTATTTTTTTCAACTTACTTGAATTTGAAAGAAGCATTGTATGTTGTAATATGTTAAAATATGAAAGTTAGTCAATCATTCACCCAGTCAACAGTAAAAACTTCATATGCAAAATGCGCGATTCAGGAAAGCGGTTGAGAGACGAAGAAAGAGAGAGAGAGAATGCGAGAGTAAACGAAGTTGGAGAAGATTGGTAGGTTTTCTCTCTTCTTCTTCTTTTTTTTCTTCTTCTCTTACATTCCTTCGACGATCATCAGTAGAAGACACAAAGAAGCCAAACACAAGAAGAAGAAGAAGAAGAAAAAAGAAAGTGATGCATCTGTATGGATTGTTTTTTTTTTAGAAAAAAAAGTAAGAGTACCGGCCTGGAACATACATTTTAAACGAAAAGGTCGTCAATAAATCGAGAATTCTTTTCTCCTCTAATTTCAAATTCTTTCTGTTGTTATTTTTTCGTTGCCGACAAATTTGTTCTTCTATCAACTTGAAAGGAATAATATTTTTTCATCAAAAACCCCATACGTTGTGCGCATGTTACACTAGATGATGTAAACAAATCTTCAACAAATTTATCTTCTACCATACATGTCTACATAATATGTATTTGTTAAATACACAATGACATGTAATCAACTTCCGACATTATGCGACAAAAGAATAAAGAATGTCACTGAGACAGATAAACTTATTCCGTGTATATTATTATACGTTTTGTTACCAAAAATAGACAACAAAGACATGTATATGAAAATAAATAGAACAAAAGAAAACTTCAAATACAAGAAATACATATACTATCTATCTACTATATTGTCAGGCCTAGGTTTTTTTTATTACTTTTTTTTCCCAAGTATGTTTTACATCAATCATATATAAATAATTCTTTCTGTTTTCTATCATCCTACGTTTTTCTTAAAAAAAAAATACTTCTGTTTTTGAATAATTTTTAATAACATTATAGTTGCTTGTCATTAGCAAAGCTTTGCTTATCAAGTACATATGTAGGATGTTAATTCCGATGAAAAATGATCTCAAACTTGTAGAACTAGTAAATAAATATAGAAATTTGATTTTAATGTACTTATAACAAGAAAATTAATTAAAAACAACAGGGAATAAAAATAATTTCTGTATTTACTTCAAATAATAACCTGAAATTTAATATGATATCTAGATTTTAATGTGGGTGGAAGTCAACACACATGTTTTTTTGTCTAAAAGAAAAATTGAAATAACTGGATTATTCATGTCGAGCATGTTAATAATACTATTAAGAATGTTATAATGAAATACTTAAACATATTCAGTTGAATTATTCTGAAGCGGATGTTTTACGGAAGATTACCGCGTACTTACCAACAATATACTGAATAGTTCCGGTTAGAAAATGCCATCTAGCGCGTGGGTTAATATAATTATAAAAAACAAATCAATGATTTATATTCTTTCTTAATGACTTTAATAAATATAATTTATGTTTTTTTTTATATAAACAATTAATTGACTATTAAAAATTGTTTACAAATAATTTCGTATAAAATAATATTTTTATTTCATTCTGTTATTGCGAAAACCAATTTCGAAGAAAAAAAACAATGATTATATGTCATGTTATTGCTTCTCTATATGGGAAAAAAAAAGATTATAGAATTCAGATAGTAATCTAATAAAGCAATAAAAGGACTCTTTTATTATTAGATTTTTTTATGCCATTATAATGTAAAATTTGCTAATTTCCTGTCTACTTGCAGATGATTATCTATTTTACTATCGAATAATATAATTTTGTGTTTTACAGTAAAACCTTTATGATAGTTTGAATGACTAGTATTGATTTAACACGAAAGTGCCTAGAGATTGAACTGGATCGAAGAATAATTAACTATGTCATTGTAACATTCAATAAGCTCGTATCAACTTTATTCTTTTTTGAATCTCAATTTCTGATTATATAAAATTATTTATAATTTAACACCTTTTTTTCAGTTAGCAAATTCTTTCGGTTAAGATCGATCATTGTTTTTTTATTGATTAAATGTCTAAATAAAAAGTTACGACAGTTCGATTGTATTGCTATATTTAATAGAATGATTTCATTAGTATAGTTTCCATCCTCGGTTTGCTTTCTATAACAACTCCTCTATATAACGTTGTGGTATTTAAGATATGTGTTTCTTGGCATTGGTTATTATTAAACCAATAATAGAACTATATAAGCATTAATATAATATACCAATGCGTAGTAAAAATAACTAGCATGGTCGGCTGATTCTAAAGATCGAATAATAAATCAGTTATTCAAGGATTAAATTGACACACATTTGCAAAAGCAGATGCGAATAAGAAAAACAAATGAAATATCGTTTTCTTTTTGACATGTAAACAGAATTGTTTATGTCTTATTTTATTTTATTTTTATATCTCTATCGATCAACTTGTCTTGTTTTTTTTTTATTATAGTTGTTGCCCGTAGTTGGACGAGGCAATATATGGCCTCGACTAGAATACCTTTGTATCGTGTTAAAGGTACACATTATGAGTGTGCACACGTCATCGGTAAATTAACACGTGAAACAATTCGTCATCGTATTGCAGATGATCTTACTGTTTTATCACCATTATTTGAATTTATTCAAACAGAATATGGTCTTCATTTGTGTCGAGATTTTGCTAAAATAATTCGTTTATTATATCCATGGTATTGGGATGAAATTTGTGGTTTAGCTGATGGTTCCGAAGTACCATTAGAACAGATACTTGTTTTGAATTTTCTAAATGAAGTTCAGACAGCTCATAATCTATTAAAGGAAGAACAAAAATTAAATGAAACCGGTGAAAAAGGTTGCACAACAGTTTTACTTAATCGACAAGATACAAATACATTTTGTATAGTACATAATGAAGATCATGCATCAGCATTGTATATGACTGGATATCTCGTCGAAGCAGATATTCAATCGATTGAATATAATGATGGACAACGATATAGTCCTGAAGAAAAATTTCTTGCATATTGCTATGCTGGTGCTATTCCAGGTAGATATTTATCTAATGAAGAATGATTCATAGGATTATCTTCTTGGGAAAATATAATACCATTATTTATTTAATCGATTGACGCAGTAAGAGATCGAGTTTTTTTATTGTAAATAGTAAGTATTTACAAGGTCTAGCCTATTTATGTATATTCAGGTTTTTGGTAATAAACAAAATCTTTTTTGTTCGACTTTTTTTCATTAGAATAATAATCATATGCGTATTTATATAAGCTATATGAGACGAAAAAAACACTTTGTTTTTTTTGGAAAATATTTTTAAAAAATGCCCTACATTATCAACACATCTTTTATTCACATAATTAATAAATTTAATATTTTTGTTATAGGAAATGGTTTTGGTGCCAATAAACATGGCTTTGCATTTGCTTTAAATGGTCTTTATCCAAATTTTGTTGCTCATGGTCGTTTACCACGGCAAATAGTTAATCGTGCTCTATTGTCAATACACAACGAAGAAGATTTAGATAATTTATTTCGTATATCTCCGGTGGCATTTGGTTTTTGTGTCAATGGCTCTTTTTTTCGTGATGAAAACAGTTTGCTTAGTTATGAAATAGGACCTAATTTGAAAAGTCCGAATGAAAATTATGTAAGTAAATGTCGCATAATAAATGATGGTCAAAAAGAAAATAAAAAAGATGGTAAAAGGAAACTTGTTCGATTGATTTAACAATAAATTTTTTTTTTTGTCTCTTTAGAAAACTGTGAACTTATATCAAATTATCTTGTTCATTATAATCATTATGAACGTTTAAATCAAGTCATTATTCAACAAAAATCTTTAGATTCAACATATAATCGTTGGAAGCGTGGTCAAGAATTCGGTGAAATATTTACAATTGACGATGCTCTACGTTTATTAGGTGATAATGAAAATGAATCATTTCCAATATTTCGTATTCCAAGTAGTACTGATCAAAATTCAGTTACACTTTGTACGGCATATTTTAATTTTCATACATTACAATTATTGATTTATCAACACAATCCTAAAGATAATACTGATCCTTCATTTACTTACAATCTCATGGACTTATTAACTTAGAAATAAAGCCATTTCATTAGAACTGATTACATATATATATATATATTTGTATTAATGGATTTTTTGCTAGAAAGAATAAATAAATTAGTACACATAAAAAAAAATATTAATAATATATAATCATTAATCCTATGATTTATTTCGTATATATCTTTTCTATTTTTAATTTAATATTATTATAGTTTGAAGCATCATAATTACATATTACAGAGATGTCATAGTTAATAATCTTTCTCTTTCGAAGAAGAAGAAGAAGAAGAAGATATGTAACTATACTATCTATATAAAATAAATTTAATCACATTTCTGTTATTTGATTTTTGACAGGTAAGAGTATTACGTGCAGACAGAATTGGATGTAGACTTATTATTAAATCTTGCTCTACGACATTTCTATACTTTAATAATTCTTAATAAAATAATCCATTTCCTAAAGTCATGTCATTTATGATTAAAATATTTTATACAAGATCAATATAAAATAAAATTTATGTAATATTCAACTGAAATGTACTTACTTATGTCATGAGCAATAAGTAAGATATTCTGATCTTGACAAGCAATAATTTAACGAGATTAAAATTAACACGAAGTGTAATCAATTCAATAAATAAAAAGCAGATCAACAATGAATGTTTCTGACATCATTCTCTCAACTACTGACTTTGTGAACTTATGTAAAGACACGCCCAAAAACAAAAAAACGTCCTTTGACAATGACGTATGCATATTATTATTATGCCTAAATGCAATAGCTGTCATTTCTAATTATTTATATACTAGGAAGAACTTTTTTTTCATTTAATTTAACATGCACTTCGATAGAAGTACTAATAATCAAAATATTTTCTTTATATCACAGTTGAATGCATGATTAGTAGATAAATAAAATATTTTTCTTTTTTTAAATATAGTCGTAAGTTTTCATTATAATCGATATCAACATATATATATATATAGATATTTTTAAAAAAGACGCAAAATGAATAGAATTAAATATTATCTTACATTTAATTGAATATATCTTTTGACTTGTCTTGAAATCTATAAATTATAAATGACACTTTTTTATTGATAACATTAGTAGAAATGCGAAATAGGAGATAAAAATAAAAATAATTCTTCGAACATTTATTCTTTTAGTTATTTTAAATATTAGTTAAAATATGTGGCATGAACTTGTTCGTCTTAATCTTGTTCGAATTTTTTATCCATGTTTAATGATATTTGGTACAGTTGGAAATATTTTATGTTTAAAAATTCTTCTACGTAAACGTTTTCGTCGTCAATCAACTTGTCAATATTTATGTATACTTGCTGTTATTGATATACTTTTTATTTATATGAGATCAACACGTTATTTATATCGATATATATATAATGCTGATTTACGTAATGCATCATTATGGATATGTCGATCATTTATATTTTTTTCTTCAACATTATCACATTTAGCATCATGGATATTAGTTATTGTTAGTTTTGATCGATATTTTATGATAAAAAATTTACTTGCACGTCGTGATGCAAAGTCACGTGTAATTCAATCAACATGTATACTTATATTTATTGTATGTACAGCTAATTTACATTATTTAAATATTTTAGGTAAGGCAAAAATCAAATTTTTATTTTCAATAAAAAAAATTATTTTTTCTAATAGGAATCCATGTAACAATACAAAGTCCAGTTGTTCAAATAAATAATAATATTTTAAATGAAACATCTCATACTATTACTCGTTTCATATGTATGCCACGTCCATCATATAGAGCTGTTTTTCATTTATATGTTCCGATATTTGATTTACTATTTGTTGCGATTATACCATTTTGTCTTATGATGTTTACAAATATTGGTATAATTCGTACAATTATGACTACGAATATGTTATGTGCAACATCGAGAAAACAACAACGAAATAATCGTTTAACTGTGATGTTATTATCTGTTATATTAGCTTTTATGCTTTTAACATGTCCATCAGTGATTTATATATGTTTAAATCGTTTAACATCATCAAAGACAGCAGCTTCGAATAGAAAATTACTTATTCTTGATTTACTTGAAGCATTATGGTATACAAAACATGCATTGAATTTTATTTTATATACATTAAGTGGACAAGACTTTCGTCGAGAATTTATGAAATTACTTCCATGTCCTCGACGAAAAACAATAAATATATTAACGAATCCGCAAAGTAATTCAAACAATCGTTTAAATATAGCTGTCAGTATATATGTAGATAATACAACGTTAGTAAATCAACGATTACTTGACAAACGAAAAAAACAATTCAACAAAGACGTCAATGATTTATCGACTATGATCATTTCGAGAACTTCAAAAGTAAAAACTCCTGTTCAGATAGATGATGATTTTGTTGTACTCAGTACCTATTCAAGCACATATACACCAACATCCTGTACAAGTGATCGAGGACGATCTTCATCAACAACTAAAACATCAGTACATTAAATGTAAAAATATATTATTTTGTTTCATTTTAAATAAAACTATGTTACTATATTATATAAAATTGTTTTTAAATCAAGAACAAACTCTCTATTGAAAAGGTTAAAGAACAATTATATTTATTACCGATGAATCATTCATTCGTATTTATTATTTTTGTAATAAAAGCAATGATTAATACTGTTTTTTTTTTGCTTTTTGAAAAAAATATTTCTGCGAGAATATAAATATATTTATTTTGAATCATACAATAGATTCAAGTTTAGCTCGTTATTTAAAACCGAAAAAAATCACAATAAAAAGAAAACATTAATTTTTTTCTATTGAATAGTATCTTGACATTCTTCAAAGACAGGATAATGTGATTGTGTACCTGGTCCAAAACTATTATACCAAGCATCAAGATCAGCTGGAGTATTATGTGTTTGTAAAACACGTAAATAATCATCAAGCATTTTATTGAAAAGAGCTTGTTGTTGTAAAGTTTTAATATAATCTGTAAATATATCTTTGAAAAAATCTAATCGTTTCTTTTCAAATGCTTGTGTATGTTGAAATATCTCAATCATATTCGCTTCATAACGTTGTCTTGGTTCAGCGCCAGGCGCAACATCACGTACTAAATGTTGATATTTTGTTCGTGCTGCATCAACATCAAGATTTACTTGTACATAATGATCAATAATTTGTTTTTGTGTTTCAGCCGGTGTTTCAACTGGCATTGAAAATTTTTGTTGTTCACATTGCTTGGATAATTTAACTAATTTATAATAATTTTGTTTTGCTTCATATATTGATTCAAGTAATTTATTCCAAGGTTTTTGGACATTCTCAAATTCTTTTTCGAATTCTTTCGATTTTTTATAATTTATTATTGACTTTTCATAATTATCTTTTTTCCACTGTTTTAATTTTGGCTGAATATTATCATGTAAATTCGATGCAATTGTTTGATGTATATCAGCCATTTGTTCACCTGTTGAAACAATTTGATCCCAAACTTTTTTATTCGATGGGTACTCAGTTAATTTTGTTAATTCACCATGCCATTTTCTTGACCAAGCACGTAAAGCATTTACATAAGTATGTTCTAAACTTGCTCGTTCTTCAAACATAGTTGACAAATGTCCAACTAAGTCATGACCAAATTCATATCGATTAATACAACGTTCATATTGTGATGGTTCAAAAAATCCACGATTTGCTGTACCAGTAGTTGCTGTAGAAGTTGTGGCGGACGCCATTTTAAAAGTAACTAAGATTATTCAATTTTTTAAAAAATTATACAACCCTGCGTATGATGTATGTAATAGAGAAAAATGACAAAACGTGGAGAGAAAAAAATGCGGACTATGATTATTAAAGGTCGATGAAAAAAACCATTAAAGAACGAGCTGAAAAAAAAAGGAGACGACAAGTAGAAAAAAAACTTGTTCGTTCCTTCTGTTGATATATTTAAAATGTAATGATTATAAAAGAATAGAAACATATGTGTGATGTAATAATGATAATATTAACTTTATATTTATTGTTTGCATTGAATTATTTATAAATTTATTTTAAATGATAACGTTAATAAAGTTTCTAACCCAATAGAAAATGAATAAATCATCCTTTTTCTTTATCATATAAAATATCGATTTATCAGTATAAGGAATAAATAATGATGATGAATCATTCAATAACAAACATATGATTTTATTCTGATAATAGAAAATAACAAATGATGAAACATAATCGACAAAATTTGTCGAAAAAATATTTATTTAACATGTTAGTACAAAATATCTGAACAATCAACTAGAAAAGATACTAAAAAAAAAGTTTATCATATTGATCTAAACCGACAGCATATTAATGATGATTAGATCGTTGATGATGACGACTGGAACCAACACAACCAATAGCATCATTGTCGTTTAATAAGTCAGATACAATTGTTCTATCTAATATAATGGTTACTTCTTGACGACGTCGTTTTGTCGGCGTTTGATCGATCGACGAAAAACATGGCATGCCTGATTCACATATATGTATCTAAACGAAAAAAAAAGAAAAATTTATTTTTATATCAAAATTTAACTTACACTAGGTGTAGGTGTTGAAGTAGAGTCATTGTCGTTCAATTCGATTGATTTTTTTCTTTTTTTTTGTTTAAATGATGTTTCAAATCGTTCAAGTAATTCTGGACAATTAAGATTATTTTTTTGTTCCCACTAAATTAAGAAAAAGAAATATTTTGATGATGAAATAGAAAGTAAGAAAAAAATTTAAACTTACTGTACTTTGACTTTTATCATATCCTTTCCACTTAAGTAAATATTCAACATGACCATTTTTTATTCGACGATCTAATATTTCTTCAACAGTGTACATTTCTTCCCACAAATTGATATTATTATTGGCACCGGCTGATCGATCACGAAACATTTTTTGGTATTTTTTACTAATATCAAAACCAATATATTGTCTATTTAAATTAGCTGCAGCAACAAGAGTTGTTCCAGAACCAGCAAAAATATCTAATACAGCATCACCTAAAATGAATCATAAATTATTTTATAATTTTTTATCATATATTATTACCTTCATCAGTTGTTGCTAAAATACATATTTCAGCAAGAAGTTGTGGAAATGGTGCAGGATGTTTATTTCTACGTTCAGGTGGAATACGCCATATTGAATTTTTAAAGCATTCAGGAAGACGATTACGATAAAATTTTGGTGTATATGATGGATCAGCTGAAGATTTAGTAAGCCAAAAAATTTTTTCAACATTAGGACGAAAATAATTATTATTTTGATTAGGTGTTGAACCACGATCCCAGATAATTGTTTGATAAAGTTTTAATTTACTTTTCAAAATAAATTGCTCAGGTGGATAATCACGTTTACAATATCTACGATCTTTATGATTGTAAAATAATGAACCATTAGGAGTTAATACACGATTAATTTCATTTAATAGATCACATTGCCATTTTTGATATTCATTTTCATTCATGTTGTCGTCATATGTGTCATACACAATTTGAAGTGCATATGCACGACCATTACGTAGACCAAGTTTATTATATGGTGGAGATGTAACAATACATTGAATTGAATTACTTGGCAGCATTTTCAAACCTTCCAGACAATCGATAATAATATATTTGTTCATCAACGACTAAATAATAAATAAAAAAAATATGATAATTTCATTTTCTTTTTATGTTTAGAATTTTGTTAAACTTAAAACATTGATAAAAATAAGAAAAAAAAGAATATTCACCGATATTTCTCATCATATAAAATTCCATGACACGATATGTAC